AACCTTTATCTGGTTTTATAGACCTTTGCCTGGATCATTTCTTAACATATGATCAGGGCCTGCAGTGACCATGACTCAAAGCATCATCTGACTCTGCAACGCTTACACTCATCAAACTGTTTCAATGTCAACATCATCACTTTTCTCTGTACTGTATCTGTGGTAACCAACAATTATTTTTTATCGAAAGTATTAATCCTCTGGTCAAAATTTCAAAAATCTCACTCACAAGAACCCAGAGTCAAATCATCATTATAAAATGACTTGTTTTTTTCTGTCAAACAAACTGAAACCCATAATATTCAGCTGGTGATGATGTAAAACAGAGATTACAGTGCTACAGTGGAATAACAAACAGTCGTGAAGTCAGTGAGTGACCTGTTGGCAGAGAGCTTGTTGGAGATGAAGCCACCAGGGATTTGAGTGACGATGTAGCCCCAGAAGAAGGAGCCGTGGATCAGCCCCACTGTCTCTGGATCCCAGTTAAACTGAGCAATCTGGAGAGGCAGAGAGAAAATGGTTTTAAGAGGAAGATGAAGAATTTCAAAGATGAAAATATGTGACTTAAAAATGTCTGTTAGAAATGCAACACTGAACTCATAATCAATGAAACACCCTCATAAAATGTCTTAAAAAATCTAAACCAAAGGGTTCTGTAAAGTCGGCATATGTACCTGAAGCACTGGAGTCCCATTGATGTAGACAGTGTTGTTGTTCACCATCTCCACAATGGCCACACCAAGATTGCAGCGAATGCCAAAGGAGATGCAGAAACCCAGGCCGCTGAGGATGGCAATGATGTATCGTTTAGGGAGACCGCCACAGCTGCAGTCCAGCAACGGAGCAGGACGTGGTGCTGATGCCACTGGACGCCCATCCTCTGTCAGTTCAATGTTGTCTTCTTCTTCTACATTGCTGCCATCTATTTTCCTAAGGAGCAGATAGCAGGGAACACAACATTTGTTATCTTAACATCCTGAAGTAAAAATATTTATTTTTATCCATATCATTCATCAAATTTCAGTGTTCTTCATGCATAAATTCTATGTTATCTGAATTTGGCTTCAAGTCATGTTAGGATTTTTGCATTATTCAGGTGTTAATGTCCTGTCCTGTCGCCTTTGGCAACCAAACAGCACAGTAACACAAGTCTCTCCACTCACAGAGGGCAGGAGGTGAGGCCAAGACACACGAGGTAAAGGGTCACAGATCTGCTAGGATCAGGTTGCTCTCAGCACCTGTTCCACAACCAAGAAGCCATCTCTTTTACTGTCTCCCTGCTCCAATACTCTCATTCTCCTGCAGGAGATCTTTAATGCAGTACACCCCCACCAGGACACATTTTAGCGAGAAACTGGGAGCAGCTCTTTGTTATCAAACACTAAAATCTTCCCTATTTCACCTCAGTACCTCAGTATTTTATGAGCAACCAGTGGTTACAGAGGTGACCAGAGGTGACGGGGGCTGTTGTGTAATTTAATGTATTACGGACTAATATTCATGAGTTTAAAAAACACAAGATTTAAACTGTCATAAAAGCAATGGGTGAAAAATATAGTCTATAATAATAAATGAAAAATTTACACAGGAGTCAAAAAAGTAACGATTACATTTAGAAAATCTGATATTTACACTGTTATTTCATTATTATTCTAATTATTAATATAGTTATTATTATTATTATCGTTATTATTATTTTATTATGTCTCACTTCTTGGCTTACTGTATTTCTACATGATTACAGAACACATACATATTAATGCCACACACATAAAACTCATCTTCCAGGCAATTGCCAACTTAGTGATTTATCTCTGAAATTTTCTTCTACTATATGAAGGCTCCCACCTCCAGCACACACACGTCCTACTGTGAAATATGCATCAGATATGAAAAATGGATCAATGTCTTAAAATAAAATCTCTGATTGCATCACAGGGATTGCCTGGCAAGCACAAGAATCAAATATTTATTTATCGTCAGGATCTCTGAGAACACGCTGGGCTTAATGGGCTCGCCTCCAGGCTCTGTGACAGTAGATATTTCTGCTCTCTTATAGTTGAGCAATCTTGTTTTAATCTCCACTGTGAATGTAATATATGAACAATGAATGAAAAGCTTATTACATGCAGTCTAACAATATATTCAAAAAACTGTGGGGTGTGGATCAAACATCCCTCGCTCCACTCTCCACATAAACCCACTCACCTTTGCAGTTTGCCTAGAGAGTCGCCCACAGTGCTCTTCACCTCCTCCTTCCCAGGCTTCAACACCTGCTCCTTTAAACCTGTCAACCCACCAAAAGGCATTTTTTCCTGGATGTTCTCTATTTTCTCTCCACCTTTGTCTCAAAACAGCGTCTTGATACCTCACTGGCACACTTTATTAAGAGAAAATAAGATGAAAATCCACTAGAAGCTTTTCTCCATCCTCCCTGAGTTCGTGGCACTGGGGGCTGGCTCCACTTCAGAGTGGTGCCAAGGGTCCCTCAGAGGTAACACGGACGTTGTCAGTGTTTCAGAGCCGATTCAGAGCTGATGATGAAGTATTCCTCCTTCCAAAGTGTCGTTCAGTCAGAGCCTCTGGAACATTAATCTCCAAAAGATCCATCCAAGACTGATATATAAGGAAGAAAAAAATAAAAGTGCAGAATCCACTTTTTAATCTCTGGGCATTATGAGACCCCTTTGTCTGCAGCTGAACTGAAAGATCCGCTCAGATCTCCTCTCCATCTCATAACTCAACCATCCCTGGTGAGGAGGGGCAGGTGTAGCTGGTTTTCCAAAACCCAGCCCCTCATCCAACACATCATCATCTTTATCGTCATCATCATCATCATCACCTCCCCATGCAGCACCACCCCTTCACCTACTTAGGTTCATCTGATGGCAGCTCAGTGGACAAACAATTAAATATGCACACGCTTGACATGTTGCATGGAGGAGAGACAGGAGTAGCTGGACTGCTGGGGTGTAACACGTGAGCAGGTGAAACCCAAGACAAAGCCATCAAGTTCCAGGTTTACGCTCTCTGCTAGCTCTTCCATGTTGGTGTTTCACAATGTCAGCATCATAGAGAAGGGACAGATATAATAACTGCTGCCATAAAGCGGTGCAGTTCATTGACTTCAGCATTGTATCATTAACCATTTGACAGTGATGGGAGTTTCTTTGAAATGCATATTTTGCCAGAAGGGTCACCAATGTTCCAGCTGTTTATGCACGCCATACATTAAGAGAGCATGAGCCCCAATGGACTCTATTTAAATAGATATGTTTCTTTATGTGAGAACTATCACAGCTTATCAACAAGAAAACATGAACAAAACGCCATTCTTTTTTCCAGAGACAGTTTTGTGGAGCATGGCATGTCCATTTGTGATCAATATAACAGTTTATTTTGGGGGGTTTCTAACAACGTTTGAAAGGATGAATTTGACTTATTTGGTGATGCATTAAGTAATAAACACTAGTTTTTCAAATTAAAAAATAGGTCAAATGTAAGATGAATAATTTGGCGATTATAAGAAGCAAGAAAATCAATATACTAACATTAATAGTTCCTATAATTGTATAATTGGCATCAACGGTGAAACAAATGGTGAATTTAGCAGCTGTATGAAAGTAACTTTGGGATTTGTGATGCAAAATTACTGATTAAGGTCAAATCTGAATATGAATCTGAGAGTGTGAGAAGAACTAGGAATCTTTTTTCTGAAGTCATGTCTGCCATCTAGTGTTTGGAATGAGGAGGTGACACGTGAGTCCATAATGTGATGCAGAGAAACACAAAGAATGAATCAACTCTAAACGAGACATGACACCTGTCCAGTGCAGACTTTATTGTGGGACTCGAAATCATAAAAGGAGTTTACACTTATCTGATGACACCAACTAAAAATGCAACCACTGAGCCATAGACTGTCCATGAAAATGAACATAATGGTGGTAAATTACAAAAAAGACAGTAAACAATCAGATATGGTGGTTTATTCAATATAAGTATATAGGCTATTATCTAAAGTGAGATAGAATACTTTTAATCTTTTCTAGTCCAGTGCAGTTATCATAGACTGTATATAGGCAGTTATACACATCAGCCACTTGTGGCCTAGATAGGTATTACAAGGACAACCACTTGAAAGTTTGACCCAAAAAAGTCCCTTGCCTGCCAGATAAAAAAATGAATCTGTTTCGTCATAGATGGAAAAACATTTTGAAATATTTCACCTTTATTTACAGATTAAAAAGACTTTTCACCAATTCAGAACCGACAATGTTTTGAAGTGATGAAAATACAGAATAGAAGTCTGACCTTCTTGGACTGGGCAGTGAACAGAAGCAGTGAATCAGGATCTGCTGTATAAGATCCAACTCAAGAATAATTACACAAGTAGAAAAAGACACATGATGTTGGTCTGTGGCAGTGGTGGATCTAGGACTTTTCTAAATCAGGGGCAATAGGGGGCCATAATTCACACAGAGGGGCAAAATATACGTCCAGCGTCACGCACAATTCCTTGTATTTCCTTGTTTGCTCTATAGATGTGAGTAAAGCCACACATCGTTGGATATAGATTTGGAAAATTGTTCCTTGTGTACTTCTATACTAGAAAATAAATAAGTGATTATTTTGATGAATAAAGTAAAAAGACAACTGACTGGACAGGGGTATTTCAGGGGCCAATCACCCCCTGACTACGCCCCTGGATCGGTGTTGAATGAATGTTTAAATAAAATCAGAATAATAAAACCACATAATGTGGGAAAGGTGAGTTAACTATGGCAATAACAATGGGATATATCAGAACAGAAGGAAGACGTTTACAATAAATCTGATGCAGAGTAGGTGTGTTAACAAATGGCAAAGCTAACTGATTATCCTTTTCACATTATGAGACAAATCCAACTGTGACTGAACGAGAAAGATATGTGAGAGAATACAAAGTAAGACTGACGGTAACGTAAGAGGGAGAAGGGATGTGTGTTTTCCAGCGGACGCGAAGGGAAGCGCAGGAGCGGCGGAGCAGCAGCGGTGACTCCGGTGAACCGACAGGAGGAGACTGCGCTCTGCCTTCCGCGTCCCCTCTCCACACTGTCCCATTTCCGTCGCTGCCGCCGCCGCTCTGCTTCTCTCCGTCGAGGAAGATCACAAACAAGGCACAAACAACCACTTCCCCCGGCTCTCACACGACCTGTCCTGTCAACACAGCCGCGTCTCGGAGCGACTCCACCGCCTCATCCATGCATCGGAGTCCCGGGCCCCAGCGCACCGGCTCCAGCCATGTCAGCCAGGAATGCATCGGCTGGTGGCGGTGACAGAGCGGGAGACGGAGAACCGGCAGGTAACTCAAACACACCGCCAGGTTGTTTACTTCTTTAAATATTCTCACAGTGTAATACTACACGTGTACTGTTGTATATCTACTGTAAAACAGGCGGCTGTAGCGGGGGGGTTACCCGGGTGTTTTGCACCGGTTGACCGTAACTTTGCGCTTTTTCAAAACTAGGTCAGTAGATCAGTAGAACAAACTCGGCTTCTCCGTCGTTTATGTAACTCGACACGACTCAGTTTGTCGCTTTAGTCCCGCGGTATGTTCACATGTGTCTTTATTTCAGCTTGTCACGAGTGACAGTGTTGTTAAATGTGAAATAAATGCGCTGTAGCGTCGTTGGTGCTAACGTTGACCCGAGCCACCAAACCTTGGTGTTAGCTTAGCAGCCGTAGCTTGGCCTGTTCACCGGGGGCTCGACGCGGTCGAGGCAGAGGTAATTTTTTACCCCCGCCGCGATCGTATCGCACCCTGGGTAGGTTTCTATTACTGGTGGTGGCCAGTGGTTTCTGGAAGAAGCGGTGTCACATTGTGAAAACGAAGCGGGGATTGTTAGCTGCTCAGGCCCGAGCTGATCCACGGCCGCTCGCTGCTTCGCCCCAGAGGATGAAGCAGCTGAACCGATGATCTGATGTTAGCCAGGACCGAGCAGGCTCTACTGTACGTTTACTGCACTATTTTGAATAATTTGTATTATCTATTGACTCAACATCAGTTAACTTTAGACTGTAATAAAACTGCTGCAAACCGACTTCACTTCACGCAGGAGTTGTAAACAGAAGAATCTCTGTTGTTCATGCACCTTTGTGTTGGTGTGGTTGAAGGAGCTTCTGTTTATGAGAAGTTGTCACATTTAGTCTGAAGCAAAAGTTTTGATTCAGCAGCCAAGTGTCACTCAGCACAACTGTAGGCTTTTCAGGAAAACATCAAGCCCTGCCAATAAAAGCATGAATCATAAAGAGATGACACTGTTGTTCTGAAATATGTAGACATGTTGTATTTTGTTAATGTTTACACAATACATCTTTGTGGTGTTGCATGATACTTTCATTGAATGTAGGTCAACCATCAGGATTATTATTGTTGTTCTCTATTATTTCTTCAGATATTCTCCACTTGGTCTTGATGACATTCTGATATGAATGACTTGTGTGTTTAAAACATTCTTTTCTCCTTTTTCGACATCCCTGCAACACACCAGTTGTATTTTTATCTTTATGTAATTGACAAAGCTGGAATCAAGCGGGTATTATTTCTGGAGCTCAACAACTGACTGTGATTGAATTGATTATACATGCGTTGAATAACACTGTTTTGTAAATAACCCACTTCTGATGTAGTTTTCTTGACTTTTCTGTTTTGAATGTGTAGTGTTGAGAGTATGCAGATGGCTGAGTTACTTGATAAGATATTTGTGTTTGTGTACTTTCTCATCCGGGCTCCATTAACATCTGACCTGCAAAATCTGAACTGCACAAATAACTTGATTCACCCCTGAGACCGGTTTTACAGGCCACACTCAATCTTATCATCAAACTGGTTCCTTAGATCAGATTGTTTGATGGCAAGCTTTTACCAGGTAAAATCACATTTAACTCTACAGCTGAAAACATTATGAGATTAATTAATTAGTCAATTGTCAGAAATTAAATTAAATATATTTTGATCATAAATTAATAAATTTAGTCCTTTTTTAATCCAAATGATCAAACTATCACTAGTTCCAGCAAGCTGCAATATAATGGTGATAGGTTATTATTTTCATAAGCAATTTATCTGTCTGTTTGTTTTTCTTTTTAATTGATTCAATAATTTGGTTTATTAAGTGTCTGAAATTGGTGAAAAATGTCCAGGGTTTTTTCTTCATATTGCTTAATTTGTTTCAATCAGCCATCAGTTTAAAACCCCAAGTTATTCAGCTTTTTATCATGTTAATAAAGAAAAGCTGAAAATCCTTGTGATGTAGAAAAAAAATGTTTGAACTTTTTGTTTGGAATTCATTAATAAAAATGGTTTATAAATTTTCTATTGATCAACAAATTAATAAAACTGTTTAAAAATGGGTTCAGCTTGAAATGGCATTCCTTTCAAGTTGGCTTTGATTCTACTGATGCTTGTGAAATCAGATTTTTATGGGAATTAAAATGTTCGCCACAAATCAGAGAATCTGTGTAGAGGGATTTTTTTGGGTATGTTTATTAACAGTCAAGATGACCAGTGGACCTTTCACTGAGACTTTCTTGTCTAGTTACCTGTGAGAGGTTTACAACAATATGTTTTAATGAGCATAATATTCAAGTAATCGCTTTTTCCCCATTAGGTAGCGCAAGATTTTTTCCTTGCCATCATCATCAGTATTAAATTATTGTGCAATTAACTTTGCATAATTTGGTAACAGTGGAAGACTTTGTGTTCAGATCTTGTTTGTGGGTAGGATTAACTTCATTCATGTGAAGTAGGGAAGCTCATGACTTAATTTGACAAAAAAACATTTTTGTAGCCATGCACATCTGTGATTATTCCTGTTTTGCACATGAGTTTTATTAGATCAAAGGATACAAACACTCCTGCAGTCTAAATTTTTTGTTGCTGCTGTTGCAAAATCATTTAAAATATAACTGAGAAACTCAAATTGAAATAAAACACCAATCATTTTTTGTGATTCTTTTACTCAGTGACAATGTGAGAAAGAACTACAGAGCGTGGGGTTGTTTGAGTGCAGCAGCAGCAGCAGATACTCATTGAAGGATTGAGTGAATGGACAAATTAATGAACGCGTGAGCTTGACAGAGGGATTGTGGGAGTTGGCAGAGGGATGTGTGTTAGGCGTGATGTCCAGTAATCTAGGTGCCTTCGCTCTAACCCTGTAATCCATTAGATTTGTACAGTGGGAGTGGGATTTAAAATCAGGTTGTCACTGATCTTTTTAATGTCTATTTAGGTCACAAGGTCTATGCAGCGGAGTTAAAAACTAGGTTTCATGTATATGAGCCACACTTGGTAATTCTCCCGAGTTTTCTTCTCCCATACACACTCTCACCTGCTGCTGAGAAACATGAATTAATCATAGTCATGCTAGCAGCTACATGTCTTGTTGAATAGGCATTCGACTGGTGTTAAAGAGATGTATATGTATTCAAGCAGGAATGCTCCAGTATTGGCTGGTTGCACTTTCTGTAATATGAAAATTTGGTTTTTATTCATTTTGAATAATCTCTGTGTGCTTTAACCTTATTTAAATTAAAATGTCCCATCCTGTTTGTTTGGAGCCAGAGGACATATACCTTGGAGATTTCAAAGCTGTCATACAGTCAGAATACACAGTAGATATACTATAAGTAGATATAAAAATGTGAACAGATTGGAAATCAAAAGCGTCTGATAACAGAAAATAACATAAAAACTTCCAATGTCAGTACCCCTGCTTTTCTCTGGTAAATATTGCAGTAGTGTAAAAAAACTCTGGATTTAGGTTGGACATTTTTATGTCTAAAATACTTAATAGTTAATTAAATAGTCAATAGATACAGTATATGTTTGGTTGCTGCTTTAATTGAATGTAGAATTACTGTATAAGCCCTATACACCCACAACTAATGTGCAGTGCTGAAAAATCCAACTGAATGAGTCATCTTTGCATTTTGCTTCATGTCATTGTTGATGGTGTTCTTCAAATTGCTCTTTCATTCATATCAATGAATTTAATCTAACCGACTTCTGATCAGTGACCTTCCGTGTTTGGAATGAGAAGCTCCTAGAAATAAGATGTGTGAGATTAACTGTGGTCTTTCAATGTATCAGCTACACATTCTACTTAATCATTAATTATAAAAGTAAATTAGTAATGAGATTGCACTTTGTAACAAATACCACATATTAATTGGGGCAAAAAAACATTCTAGTTCAGGACAAACGTAAATTATCTATTTTTCAATGTTATTTTAGACACAGACATCGACGATGGACGATAGCATTGACCCAGCCCCACGCTGGTGTCCGAGAAACTCGTGACTCAAACGTATAGATTCAAGGTTCCCAAAAGTCAATTTGCAGCAGTTATACCAGAACAGCTGGTTATGAGTCGAGGATTTGCTCGACAGGACAGATCAGTAGAGGGAGGCTCAGTCAAACATTTACTTACCACACCAAGAATTTTCTCCATGCTCTGCAGATTTCAGCATTTGACCTCACAACCCAGCTCCTCGGATCTTTAAGAAGACCCTTTTTGGAATATTTAAGATCATCACTGGATAAATATGAGTGCATTAAAGCATTAATCAAAGATCCCAATCCTGTGGACTGATAATAATGTCGATAATAGTTTGTGTTCCAGTCGCTTATCTAACAAAATAGCGCAAACTACAACACTTTGTCGGGTTCCAGCTTCTGACAGTAAACTGATGACTTGTGGGATTTGAACTGTAGTTTGGACAGAACAGACATTTTGATCATGCCTCGTCAATGCTCTTTCTGAGCCTCTAATAAGAACAGTGGTTGTGTTTGTGGAAACCTTTAATGTGACCACATACAACTGAGAGATTGAAATCTGACAGAATGAAATGCAGCCGACTGAGGGAACATACAGACTTGCTGCACATGAAGTCAGTCCATGGTGACCAGTTGCAGTTCATTGTGTCTTGTGTGTTTCAGACGATCTGCTGCTCGAGGTAAACCAAAGCAGTTCTGTCTCTCTGTCCAGCCTGATGTCCCCTTCCTCAGCTGCCAGCATGTCCTTGAGCATGGAGATGCCCCGGAAGCGCAAGGGCAGCATAGACAACCAGTGAGTCTGAGTGTGGCTTGTTTTACTATGTTTAGAATTTAATGAAAATCTCATCAATCCACTCCCTTGAGTTGATGCTGGTTGTAATTGGCATTTTCTTCTTCCCAGGGATTCAAAATCTGCTTCCATCCCTGATGCAGATATGGAAGATGACGAAAACGGGTACTGTGTCTACTCAAGAGATTAATCCCCCTTAGTGGTTTTATTTATTTTCCGGACAAACTAGTGGAATATGTCAAATGTTTTTTCTTCTCCACAGGTCAGATGGAGAGGAGAGAGATGTTAAAATGAAATGTATCAGGTAGTTTTTTTTGGCAACATTGCATTTCTTAAACATTTCTATATTATCAGGCTTAAACAACCACTGTGAAGTTCCAAATATAGAATATGGTAGATTTCCCAGATGGATAGTAAAGTCATAACAGGAAACTCTTGTTTTGGAGTTCTCTTAATGGTTTTGTTTTTCATATGTCTGCAGGGAACCACACAGCCAAATTGAGAAGAGGAGACGGGACAAGATGAACACCCTCATTGACAAACTATCAGCCATGATCCCGACTTGTAACCCTATGTCTCGTAAACTGGACAAACTCACTGTGCTTAGAATGGCTGTGCAGCACCTCAAATCTCTCAAAGGTACCGAGACAAGTGATGACCAGCAGTGTTAAAAATCATTTAGTCTGACAGGTTGTAAACAGATTATCCAGACCACTTTATCAAATCTTAAAGTGAGCACACATGACTGTTGTTATTAATGGTTTTTAGTCCTGTGACCATGTTCTTGCACTCAACAGTACATTTAATGAGTTGTATGTCAGGGTTTTAATGAAGAAGAATGTTCCTTTAACTCAATCTACTGGTTGTAACACACTAATCTGACATGACTGTGTCTGTATTTTCAGGCTCAGCAAGCGCCTTTTCTGACGCGAACTATAAGCCATCATTCCTTCCTAATGAGGAGCTCAAACACCTTGTTCTTAAGGTACCAGTGACCACAGAAGAATTATGATTTGATATTAAAATAAGTACTTTGCCCGTATTTTGGCCGGTTCCAGCTGCATACGTTACAAACCTAACCCATGTATTGGTTGCATACCTATGCAGTTGGCCACGCCCCAGCTTTACCGTGAGTTACATTAATCAGAAACATACTAAATGTACAGAAACAAGCAATTCTAAAAAAAAAGAAAAAAAGAAATGTTTTGGATTTGTTTTCCTGCTGTTAGTATTTATGTTTTCAATATTACTTATAACATTTAATTTCAGTTTTAATCATTTTTCATATTGATTGATTAAAATGCTTCTTTTTACTTGAAAAACTTTATAAAATACAATGAAATAGATGAATGAAATATTTACTCAGTGTAGCCTCTTTGTTTTGATCATGTCATCTCATCAGCTCCTCCTATTCTCCCCCGTGTTTCTTTGTTGTGCAGGCGGCAGATGGGTTCCTGTTTGTAGTGGGATGTGATCGTGGAAAAATAGTTTTTGTCTCAGAGTCCGTCACGAAGATATTAAATTATAGTCGGGTAACACTTTTACATTTGTTACTGTATCTGCAGAGACAAAGACCCCGGACATACCAGATGCATTGTGTTGTCTTGACACTAATGAAAACACCATTGCTTGTTATCCATGTATCCTGTATATATATATATATATTCAGTTTAAATGTTTATGGCTCAATATGCTTCTGATCGTACACTAGAAATACTGATTGATCTTTTAGGTTTATTCCAAATTTGCCAAATTGCATTTTAACATACTTGCTCTATGCAGTATCTGGTGTGCTCCGGGGTCAACAGTTCAGTCAGTGTACTTTGTTAAATTGGTTATTTGTCAGCAGGACTTTCTCTAGATGCAGAATGGTTTTGACATTTCTTTTTATGAACATGGGAACTTTCCTCTTTTTTTTCTTCTTCCAGGCGGAGCTGATTGGACAGAGCCTGTTTGATTACATACACCCTAAGGACATGGGAAAAGTGAAGGAGCAGCTGTCAGCTTCTGAATTATACCCTCGTGAACGGCTAATAGATGCTAAAAGTAAAGCGGTTGTGTGTGTGTGTGTACTTTGTAAGGACCAGTTTAACTATGAGACCATAAGGTGTGAAGACATTTGCTTTTCTGACACACCTTCAAAGGGCTGTTCAAAGGTTGTTTTTGTGGTAAGATTTGGTTTTCGGTTTGAGTAAGGGTTTAGGTGAGACAGTTCGTTCTGTTGCTTAAGGTTAGGGTAAGGGGCTATGGAATGCTCAACTGAGGGTCTGCGCAAAGCTCGAAGTGTGCGTGTTTGTCATAGGCTACCTTTGGGGACAAATTCCAGGCCAAAATCCAGTTGATAAAATAAAGCTTGACAACAACTGTGTCCCCAAATGTGGAAAAAGCTGATTCCTGGGTCAGTGATTCCTGTTAGGATTTGGTAAGTAGTAGTTGTGGTTAAAGTAAGTCTCAAGAGGATTTGTAACTCAATTAAAAGTCCCCATAAGTGACCTATGACCTATGTGTGTGAGAGGGAGAACATTAACACTCCTGTCCTGTCCCCAGCCGGTCTGCAGGTTCAGGCTTACCTCCCAGTTGGCGGAGCACGGTTGTGTTCAGGTGCACGGCGCTCTTTCTTCTGTCGCATGAAGTACAACAAAGTTTCTGTTAAAGTGGAGGAGAATGAATTCCAGGCCAGCTCCTCCAAAAAGAAAGGCAAGGAAATCACTTTCTACAGTCAGGGTTTGTCTTTGTTAAATGGACAAAAGCCTGCATAATTCTAGCAGTTGCACAGTTTCAGTATAAAGGAATAAATGTACTTGTATTTTGTTTGTGATTTGTGTCTTAATGTGCCCACAGAGTCGCAGAAGTACTGCACAGTTCACTGTACAGGCTACATGCGCAGCTGGCCCACCAGTCAGCTGGAAGCAGATGGGGAGGGCGAGGCGGACAAGCAGGACAGCGCCCACTTCAGCTGCCTGGTGGCGGTGGGACGCATCCACTCTCACTCATCTCCCCAGGTAAACGGAGAAGTGAAAGTCAAATCCACGGAGTTCATCACACGCTACGCCATGGACGGCAAATTCACCTTTGTCGATCAAAGGTAGAGTCATTTCAGCTGGGGGGTGGGGTGGGGGGGGTCGGTGCTCATTTTTTGTGTGCATGGCTTTGATTACTTACACATCTCAAATACATTTCAGTGGCATTTCTAATATGTTTGATGCTCATTAACAGAAAAGACTGGGTGTCAAAGGGGAAACAGCGCGTACACACAGTATTCTAAATAATATAGTACGTGTACATTACTCATACTTATGTGATAACCTTTTTTCTGCAGAGCTACAACCATTCTTGGTTATCTTCCCCAAGAACTGCTTGGGACATCATGCTACGAATACTTCCACCAAGACGACTTACCACATTTAGCTGATAGACATCGGAAAGGTAAAATACATACTTCACTCACCTCATAGTGTTGGTCGTTGTCTTTGATCATTTGTTAGCTGTTTTTCAGTCTCTGCTAAGATGACAGCTACCCTTTTTTAATTATTTAGACTGATTCATATCAAATGTTTATTGTCAGTATAGCAGCAGGGTTGAGGAACATCACATGTTAAGTTTAAGTAGGTCTCTGTGTTGCCAAACTTAGGATTTCCCTGTATTTTATGTCCTCTGGTCCTGTGCTTGTATTGTTCTCTGCTTTAAGCAGGTGATACTGATGTTACCTCTGTTAAGTCCTTTCATTTGTCTTCTCGCTGTTTTTCCACCATAGTGCTGCGGAGTAAAGAGAAAATCGACACAAACTGTTATAAGTTCAAAACAAAATGTGGCTCTTTTGTCACTCTGCAAAGTCAGTGGTTTAGTTTTGTAAATCCCTGGACCAAAGAAGTAGAATACATAGTGTCAACTAATACAGTCATATCGTGAGTATATCCTTCCATCTGATGCTTTCTTACTCTCTTGAATAGCTTAGTACCTGACAAAGAATCTTATTCATTGCTTCTTTATCTGGTTTCTCATCCAATGACACTGCACCATCACAGTCAAGCCAGTCGGTCGGGAAACAAGTCTGAACAGTCGAGCCATTCCAAGACTTCTGACGGTCAGTTGAAATGGACTATAGAAAAACTGATATAAGGAGGATGTCTTGGCTGCACCATTTCTCTTCCATTATGTTTAACTTCTTCTTTCTGTTAGAAGATGGCAAGAAGTCCCTTCCAATTATACCAGGCATCTCCGCCACCCCTGGTAGTATGATTTATGCAGGAAGCATAGGGACACAGATTGCCAATGAGCTGCTGGATTTCAACAGGTGGGTTCTTTAAAACAACAGAGGTTTCACTGTTTTTACTGCCACACTTGTTATAGCTTTTAATTTGTGTCTGTGCCTCTTCAGGATGAACTCATCCCCTTCCAGTGGTAATGTCAGCCCCTTCAGTTTACCACAGGATAAGTCTCCACAAACTCACAATCAAATCAGCAACAATGTAAGTTTCTATACATGCTTTTTATTATTGCTGCATCTGTCTCAACCATTAATGAGGTGAAAAAAACAGCAATTCCCATTTGCAAAATTGTACAAAACGTGCATATTTAGTAAAAAATGACTGTTTGCTCACATGTGTGTAATTTTCATGGTCAGTGATCCTACAAACCCACTCAAGATTACTGGCAAATTTTTTACCTCTCCACTGATTTGTAATTATGGACTTTGAGGTTATCTGTAATATAATATGGTTCAAACATTTTTATTTTCACGCTCCAATCTCAATGTGATGCTTCGTTTGTTTAAACATCTCTACAGAAATCGTTTTCAGAGGTAGACTGCAATGTGAAGCAATGTTGAAAACCATCATTTAACCAGCACAGATTTGAGTCTCTCCTATTTTTCCTTCAGGACCAGACAAACCATGCTGCCATGTTGCTGCTGGGACTATAATTTCTCCTCTTTCGGTCTCTAGGTGCCAAATGGAGAGGCAGCAGATATGGAGATAGCAGGAAAGTCCAGCTCAGAGGATGAGCCCCAGGGAGCCGCATTCTCAGGAGAAGAGACACTCACGGGTTCGATTTCTCCTTCTGTTTTATAACTTATTTCCAGACTGTGTTTGTGATTATGCTAATTTATCTCATCTCCTTGTCTTTTGTCCCTCTGCTTCTTCGTCTCTCCTCAGGGGAGCATTCTCAGATGGATTTGGACAGTGTAGTTGGACCAGGCCTAAGTAATTTTAGCAATGATGAAGCCGCCATGGCCGTGATCATGAGCCTCCTGGAGTCGGACACAAACTTGGGCGAGGCTGTTGATTTTGAAGATATGCGCTGGTCTTTATAGAATTTGCTCACAGTGCGACTCTGAGACACACTGACAAACACTTGGACCATCAGTTTTTTGATGACAAGAACTGCTCACTTCATGATGACGCATTCGGATTTTAAAAACTTTTATTTATTAGCTACCCTTTTCAACATAAGCTGTGTAGTCTTCGGGTGGCATGATCTACGACAATAAGGGATAACTTATGTCCCCTTTTCGGGCGGAGGATTCACCCAGCCTTACAGCGCTCCGCCTGCCCTGAAACGCTGTTTCCTTTATGCTCTCTTCACATCTACTGTCGTCCTCTGTGAGCTGAGGAGGCCTCACAAGGGTTAAGACCCCATGAACACAAATAACAGTGACAAGATGTGCACCATGATGGCTCTGGATTCCTGCTTGTATTTCTCTCCACCAACATGTGATCAAAGGTTGGGAGTGACAAAGCAAAAAATGCACTGAATCAACGTCATGGTTTTTTTTAAAGTTGTAATTTGATTTGGTACTTTATGTTTAATTAAAATGCAAGGAAGACACCTTGACAACATGGCCCACCTCTGTGACCCCCCCCTCAGGATCCAAACCGTAGGTAGGCAGTGTACCACGGAAAACCACACTTCCATAACCTCTGACTTTGAGAGTCACCTAGTGATGTGCTGCTCAGAGATTATCTCTTGTCAGTATCTGAACATTTTCCATGGAAACAACCTCTTTTATACACTGACTTGAACAATAATGTATATATACACAAACACCATGTCTTCAGTCTGTCTTAAAGGGATAGTTTGCATAGGAAGAATATTTTCCATTAGTGTGTCCACTTTTAGACTGCGCTGGATATTTTTTTGCTTTTAGCTCCAAGCATTGAACATTTTGACAGAAGCCATCACCTTCATACGTTTGTTAGAGATTTGCAGCAGCTGCTGTCGGTTTGAACAATCATGTTCCCCTGTGGGTTCAATAGGAACATCCCAGTATTACTTCATGCAGAGTGAAACAGCAATTTAGAGGTGTTGAGAAGGAGGTAACCCATCTCAGACTGAGTCTCATGGTAGAAGTCATAACTCAGGGAGCGATGGAAGTAAAGCCGGCCCATGTCATCATAGAACAGTTCGATGTAAGTGTAGCAGTGTTTTGTCCTCCAGATAACGCTTCACATTCTCTCCTACATGCTGTACACTGGTATGTGGGCTCGGAGTTACGAGTCTGTACCTGTTCATCTGTACGTTTCCTTTTACACTGATTGTCTGCTCTGTAATCTGGCAGCTCAGCCATAGCTTTAGGTGATTTTTTTGTTCTCATACATTATTATGCACTGACAGTCTTTCAAAAGACATGTTTCTGTTTTATGTGCTCGTCCGTGTGCCCCTCCATTAATTTAAGGGATTATGCTATGCAGACCTATCATTCCTCATATCCTGCATGACTCAACTTCAGAAGACGTTAATCGTTCTGATGACTCATATGACATTTGGTGAGAACGTGAAGAAGTCACTGTCACTTCCTGTACCCATTGACATAATCCAGAGTTCTGTTTGGCCCATGCTTACGATTGCACGTCTTAGATTTTTCAACACTGATAGTCATTATGTTACGAGCTACATGTTGGTGAACGTTTGGCAGCGAGATGGAAAAGTTAGATTTGACTTAAATGTGTCAATGTAATGTCAGTGAAATTTGAACATATTGGTTGTTTATGCCTTGCCGATGCCAAAAAGTAATTTTGAGGCTAAACACCAAGTTGTGAAATAAAAGTCCACACATTATAAAAAAGAAATTAAGAAGACAAACTACTGAAATTCATTCAAATGAGCTCTTTGGGACATTAGTTTTTGAATTGTTGAAAAAAAAGACGTGTGTGTGTGTTACACTTATCGAATCGTTTATTTTAACAGAGTTAACAGAGAGAAAGTGAGAATCAGAACCTTTGAACTGATTTCCTTTTTTTTCTCAAACATGTTTTTGTGTTTAGACTGTAAATCTGCATCTTAACCCTTTGTCAATTGTACCTGAACCATCAGTCATCTAATAGCCGTTGAATTTCTGTCCACACATAGATTATATGTAACTGTGCAGCTTGGATACCATGCCATTGTTCTCGTTGGTAACTCTGGACATTTATACTCATCTGCTGAGGATTTGTCCAATAAGAAGTCGAGCTTTAGAAATGTTGGTTGTGAATCATGGAGAAATCTGACTTTTCTCTGCTGCTTGAAATTACGAGGAGCCGGTGGACGAAGTAGCTGAGCTCACGAGGACCCTCCCGTCTGTGTCCAAAGTGCCTTTGGACATTTCTGCTTAGTCACACAATGGACCTGTTGCTTGTGGAGATTGGCCCCTGCGCAAACTTGAAGGAGGACTGTAATGACCGTATGACTGGATTCACTCGATGCAACATAGCGTACTGTGCACATCATGAATGAAGTAGAGACTTATTCACAGATGAAATGGGAGCTGTACATGTTGGCTTCAACAATCAATAACCCTAACCAAACAACTAGAGCTATGGAGCTGTGCCATAGACGCAGGCTGTTTTGTTTTTTTAAAGGCAAAAGGTCAATTTGTCTTATTTCTTCTCCTCTCGTTCTTGCACTGTAATTTCCCAGAAGGCTCTCACTTCAGTGTTCTATCATGACTGCGTGATGAACTTTGCAAAGAGGGTCACGCGTTTTTCCTTCTGTCTCCATTTGAAATAAAACTCTATAGACTTTGTATATGAGCTAGAGAACAGTACTTTTTGATTTCATGCCCTGCTTTGTGTCTAGTTGCATGCAGTTCTTGTATCATTTCTTGTTCTTGTTTAGTTCTTTTGAAATAATTTGTTTTTGCGTCACTAGACTTGGGAAGGACCTCAACAACCTTTGGGCTTATATCAGGCAGTCGGGAGCTGTTTGCTGCCTCCATTGTATCACTTCCTGACAATTTTATAAGTTCACTCTTGTTTGTGGGCCCCAGAGGAAGCACTTACTGTATTTGTTTAATTACATTATTGCTGCTACTTATGCCTGGGCTGTCTTCTCAGGTTGTCATGTTAATAAATATTAGTTTACTAAACCCTCAACCCGAACTTTGGGAATATTTTCAAATACCAGAAGAACACTTGAGCTTTTCATTAAACTTTCACCACTTCATTCTGCATTTTTCCGTCCGTTATGTGAGGCAGATAAGAAGCAGCAGCCTCCTTTTGAACTAATTACATTTGCCTCTCAGCCTCCGTCACCGTTCCTCCCTCTGAGGAGATCTGAGTGATATGTGATGAGGTGGTTGGTGCACTTAAAAGCGTGGCATAAGCCTGGGATTTGCTGTGCATATAAAGTCAGTGAAAGTAGAGCTGTAGTTTCTCCTGTACAGAATGGGTCAAGCTGCTAACCTGCCCTGTAGGAGAGGAGAGTCTTATGTTACAGAGCTGTATGAGTGGTTCAGGTAAGATTTCTTATTTGGCTTTTTAGAGTGGATTCAGTGCTGTGTGTGTTCAGGTAGAAGAGGGAGAGGAAAACCTTTAGTTAAACTGCTTTCAAGATGGGTCCTTTATAGAATATGATATTTCCCAGATAAATCTACAAAAATCGGTTACGTTTTTGATTCTGACTCATTCCATATTTCATTGAACGTGAGCAGTCATATAAACCTGAGTGACATCATGTTCATCCCTACATTATTTCCCTGACTACACGCTGCTAGATGGCTTCCCCTTGTCACCCTGTAGTAAACTGGTTCTTGATGTTTCAGCCCAATTATCTTAGCACTCGAGTTGTAAGGTGTAAACAAGCTTTCAAACACAGGTAATCTCCACACACAGGACGGGGATGGGTTGACCTCAATACTCTTAACTCTCAATTTTTCTCTCTGGTTTCTCCTGCTGCAAATCTGACTCTTCCAGGTTTTACACTTCAGTAAATGTCTTTCTGTTTTTGTCACAGGAAGTTTATAAATGAATGTCCCAGTGGGCTGATCACTCTTCATGAGTTTCAGAGGCATTTCTGCGACGGAACAGTGGGCAGTGAGTCAGCTGAGTATGCAGAGCAGATATTCCGCACGCTGGACAATAATGGGGTGAGAAAACTACTCTGAAGGACACGACAGGCATGTGGTGTATGTCAGTTTTCCTTCAGCATTAACAACACAAGGGCTGGATGATATTTCCAAAAGATAAAAAACAATTCACATCAGTCGATTTGGATAATTATCAGGATAAATCTCACATTGTTATTATTGTTTCTTTAAGATTTAAAGTCTGACATTTGCTCCTGAGTGAAAGTTATAGTTTTAAACATTACTTCAAAACATTTTTCAAATCTGAGATCAATTCTGTTGTACCTCCTCACTGTGCTTGCACAATACATAGGAAATACAGCAATACTTATTTAGAATTTGTCATATAACCATTGATTAAAATTGTATTTCAGTAATTGTTAATGTTTTTTAATGCCTAGCCCTATAACAAATCACATAAGGTCGTAGTGTGGTATCTAAAATAAGTGAAGTGTTTTGTTTAATCCCATAAACAAAGCTGTTCATGAAGCTTGTCTTCTGTAGGACGGGGTGGTGGATTTCAGGGAGTATGTCATGGCCATCAGTTTGCTCATTGACGGTTCAGCTGTGGAGAAACTGCGCTGGTCATTCAAGCTTTATGACAAAGACCGAGACGGGGCCATAACAAAGAAGGAAATGCTGGAGATCATGCAGGTGTGTATGTGTGTGTGTGTGTGTGTGTGTGTGTGTGTG